TGAATTTTATTTAAGACCATTCATGGTAAAAGTTACAAATTCTGTTGCCAGTTTCAGGAGACTTGTGAAAAGAAACCTAATTTGAGGAGCTACATCTCATATTTGAAGTCAGATCACATACTCATGTGGTATAAGTCTGATCATCGCTATCGTGATTTTCGTGATGCAGTTGAGGCGTCATTTGACTTTGAGCTATTGGTTAAAAAAATTGCTCATCCTCCTTCTGTTGACAAATCAATAATTAGAAGGTGCGGAATCCGACGGTTATATTTTCAAGATGCGCAGGAATTTGATATCATTTACAAGACTGAACAAAACGATGAAAATATTGGATTCTTAATCTAACATTTGGCTTATATGTGAATAATTATGTGTTGTAAACTGTCATACAAGGTTAAGCCCATTTAAAAGTAGTCTATTAAGGTTTTGGTAATTTAGACTTTAATGTATCCAATAGGGTATGGGCTTTTAATGTGTAGAGACTTAGGGTAATTTCTATTTTTATGATGGGCTAAAATAGAAATACTAAAAGATAACAGGAAAGTTATCTATATATAGTGGTTATGGTCCTCATATCACATAAATTGTCATTCTATTCTTTTATGACATCCCATCATCAAAGAGAGAGACAGCAAAGAGAAAGTTAAAAGATTCTCTAAGAGAACGTGTTGATCTGAAAAATAAACCGCACAACTGTAGAGTGTAATTTAATGTTATAGATTTAGGTACGCTTCTGCTTATTAATCTGTAGAATCTTAGAGATTTAACATGAATATTTCCTAGATTTTGAGAAATGTTTTACATCTAAGGATGTTTTCTAACCGAAAATGTATAGAGCCACAGAATATGAGTTGATAGGAGACTCAAATTTATAGGTAAAATATGAAGTTCTCCCATTAATTACTAAATCACTATTGCATGCGTTTTGTAATCTATGAAACATGCTTATCTTCATTCCAGGAGGCCTACAACTGATTTCTTTCTTTCTTTCTTTTCTCCCCCTTCTGAAGGAAGCAACTCAGTCGGCTCTCAGTTGCTGCAGCCAACTTCACCTTCTTTCCAACTCATCCGCATCTTATAGTCAAGGTTGTGCGTTGGACGGTCACGGGGGCTAGGCTCACCCGACAGAATGGCTGCTGTCCTCGCGACGGTATGTTTCGGCTCGCCAGATGTTTACGAGTTTATACCTATATATTCATGTTGTTGAAATGGATTCTACGAAGGTTGCTCAAGGTGTTAAGTGCTCTTCCATTCATTGAGATGATGGCCTTTAATGCAGGATTTAATGGATCTTATGAATGCTGATGTTTTTAATGTTTGTTCACTTGTTCCTAGATCTACTAATATGATAGCTTCTTTTTGCCCAAAGCTAATATGGTAGCTTAATTTGCGTTGGCTGTTTTTGGTTTTCTGTCATACTTTGATTGTAATAGTGCAGAGGCTATTTCTGTTTCCATAGCCCTTGGGTTTGTGATTTTGTGTGTTGTTGTTTACTGGTTTGTGCGGCTACTGGATCTTTTCATTTATTACAGTATAACCTCGATAAATTAATACTCAGATTAATTAATAACTTTGATTAGATAATATTTTTTACCGGTCTCTACTTGGTCCCAAGAGTATTTTCGATTAAATAATATCTCGATTAATTAATAAAATTTTATAATCCCAAGGGTTTTTATTTATAGAGTTTTAACAGCGTTGCTTTAAATGAACTATGCTTATTATAGAGTTAAAATTAATGTTTATAGTTTATAGTCTAAAAACTTGTCAAGTTATATAAAGTATAGTTGAGTTTTGAATTACATGGGATTTAAGTTCGGAATAAGGACATACTTTACAAGTCAAAATATAATTCAAATATTTTTTTTAAAAAATATGTAAATGTGAATATGAAGGAGAAAAGTGACGTGCTACTTTGCTAGAGGATCTGGTTCTTTTTGCTCTCAGCTAGCTCTCGTTCTCTATCTCTTATTTCTTTTGAGCTTACAAAAATGTGAATATTATATATATATATATAATATATATTATATACATATTTTGGACCAAGAACAACCATCAAGATGTTACTTGTTTTACTGCAGGTTTAGACTACGCTTCAAATCATTTTGCTACAACATTTATTTTTATGTTCAAACTTTTTTTTTTAATTTGACCCTCTGAACCAAATGACACTCAAGATATGTGTAAGGGAGGATTATGGATTAAGTAATACTGCTTTTTTTTTTTTTTTTGCCAATTTGGCACTTTAATGAAAGTTAGTTTTCCGTAACGAATAATTTTAACCTATGATAGTGTTTGAAATTAATTTTTCGACTTCTCTAAAACTTTTTTCCTGCCTTTTTTCTTTGGCCGGAGGTACGGCGCGTCGTCGGACCTTTGGCCATAAAAATCTCATCCCTGATCTCACTGCGAGATAATGTATAAGGTGATGGGCTCCGTGAAATCAGTGGAGTTGGTGTTTCGTCATATCTAGCATGTGAATATATGAGTTTCTCGGTGATTTTACACGATCTTTGGAGGGTGTTCGCCGGTCGTGGACTCTAGAAACTCATCGACAGACTTGGAGGAGTTAATTGCTCCTAGTGTTCACACCATCTCCTACCATTTCTCTCCTATTTAGGTTGTGGATTTTTATATTGTTTTTTATATTGTGTTATGTATTTTACTGTAATAATAGTGATGGTTTCCGTACCTCTCTCAGTCTGTGGTGTTTTCTCCCTCAGCCAGCAATTGACTTCCCCACCGCTACTAGTGTAAGGTATGCGTGTATGTGTGATGTCCAATACAAGACTAGAATTTGACTTACTTTTAATCGATTTTGTTAAAATATAAAACTATTGTTGGCCCACCTCCTAATAGCTTAAGCTTTTAGGATGGATTGGTAAACTAACATGGTATCAGAGCGTAAAGTCCTGAGTTTAAACCCTCATAATTGCACTCTTTATCCCCATTTAAAATTGTCATGGGTCTTTAAGATATCTCGAGCTTAAATATTCACGTGTTGGGCTTTCCAATTAATTTACCCACACGATTGCCCATTGTCCAGCCCACACGTGAGGGGGAGTGTTAAAATATAAAAACTATTGTTAGTCCACCTCCTAACAGCTTAAGCTTTTGGGATAAATTGGTAAACTAAAATGGTATCAGAACGGGAGGTCCTGAGTTCAAACTCCCATAATTGCACTCTTTATCTCCATTTTAATTGTCATTATGTGTTGGGTCTTTAATATATCTCGGACTTAAATATTCACGTGTTGGGCTTTTCAATTAATTTACTCACACGATTGCCCATTGTCCAGCCCACACGTGAGGGGGAGTGTTAAAGTATAAAACTATTATTGACCCACCTCCTAATAGCTTAAGCTTTTAGGATGGATTAATAAACTAACAGATTTTCCATAGCCAAATGTTAAGCCAATTTTGGGAGATGTCTTCCCCATTATTTGATTAGTGGTGTATTTTTAATGTCTAATCTTATGAGCAGCATCCAATTCTATGATTTTAGTACAGTCATGTATGCTAGTCCTTTTGTGGCCTTTTAATTAAATTGCATATTTACCTTTAAAAAAAAAAGTTAGTTTTCCCCCAAACACAGTGAGAGATATGTTAAAATTATCCCATGACGTTTATCGTTGTGAACATGTTCACATCTACTTTCATTTTTTTTTTAAAGCTCTAATATATTTGATGCAAGCGTAATTGCCAAGTGTCCACCCACTTTGTTCGTTGGTTTATAACCAACTCAGTTCAAGAAATTCACTGCACCTTCGTAATTTGTACCTGAATATGGAGTTGGACTTTTTTTCCCCTTGCTTGGTTTGGGTTAAATGAATTTTTTATTTAATTTCCTATTTCCCATTGAATTAATTTTTTTTACCTTGTACATTCCTTTTCTTTTTTTCTTTTTTTTCTTTTTTTCTTTCTTTTTTTTTTTTTGGAAAAATGAGAGACTAATAATGCCTTTGGTAACATTAATTGAAAAAGTGGATTGGATGGTTAATAACCAGAGTTAAATTTTATGACGACAATTTGAAAACTATCCTCTATCTACTACGTGTGTGAAACAACGTAGAATCCAGAAGAGTACTTTAGACATCGGTTTATGCGAAAATCATCAATAAACATAAGTACACAAAATGTGTCATCTTTAACTAGACATTATAAAACGATCACAGGCATAGTAATTTATTTTATGAACCTTTAACATCGTTCTAAAATTGGACTCAACTAATGAAATAATGTACCCATATATATTATTGGAAGAATATGCAAGGTTGACTATATAAAGGACCGCTATTTTTTCAAAAAATATTCTTTGAGAGGTTATGAAATGAAGAGGTTTAGAAGGTTTGAATTGATGATTTTACTTGAGTAACATCTAAGGAAGGAATTGTGAGATTTGGGAAGTAAGTAAAGTACTCGAGCCTTAGATATGTTGAACTTTTTTACAACTGTGAATATGATTGGTAATTCGGCGTATATAAGTGGATCCCCTCACTGAATTATAAGCGGATGATATTTGATTATATATATATATATATATATATATATATCGATGATAACAATGTATATTTTGGATGTTACTGATCATATTTTGAAGCTACGATTATCAGGAGTAGAGTTTTGTTTTAGAATATATGATTAAAGATAAATTCATGAACTTGCTATAAGAGGAGAGAGAGAGAAAGGGAACTGTATTTATTACGCTTTAGATCCATACTTTCATGATCAAGATATACATACTCTATAACTAATCGAGTGACTCAATCATGTGCTAAAAAATACTTTTAATCATTACATTTTAATCATGTAGCGACAAGTCTATTTTGTCTGATGAAAATAGTCATTACATTTTCATGTTGAGACAACTTCGAGGAAAAAAGATATAAACTAGTAAATATAACAAAGGTATCTGAAAGATATGTTGTATGAAGAAATTTAATCAAAAGTTATGAAAAAAATACAAGCTAAGAACATAAAATAATATTTAACATTCTCACTCAATTTTATTTAATCAGCTCTATATACAGAGCTTACTTGACACATCACACTGAATTCATCATGCATATATTGCATATCCATATGAACATACATACGTAAACAATCAGCTCTACATAGTGTAGAGCATATTTTAAGCTCTCAAACACACCTCAAATCATTGTTGTGTATATCATGGTAATAACAGTCAGTGAAACCAACGTCTATATATTACCATTATACACATTGATTTAAATTTATTACAATAAACAGAAAACCAAGACATTTTAGAGACGTCATTTTATTTACTTATTTTACGTTGGTGTGCACATCTTAAAGTGATAAGTGAAACCCAATAGAATCCAGGAGATCACCACTGCTTCCCTTGAATCCAACAATTAAGCCATTTGCAATTGGGAAGCTGAAAGGTGTGCCTTGTTCAACTCCATACGGTCCGAGGGTTCTCTTGTTTGTCTTGATTGTTAGTGAGCGTACAACAACAGGGTGCCCAGGCAAACTACCAGTGTACCCACTCACACTCACTATGAACTCTTGTGGAAATTGTAGTACAATCTGTAACAATATATATATATAGATAAATATATATATATTGAAATTAATAAAATGAAAAAAATTAAAGATAAACTAACCTTCTCTTTTGTGTAGGCACCAGGAACAATATGTTTGGGCCCTGGAAAATGCGTACCATTCACATCATAGATCACACTCAAGGACCCAATAGCATCCTTATGTGAAAGGTCAATTTCTCGAATTCCAGTGTAGGAGCCATCATCCCAACCAGTACCCCCAGGCCCTCCCCAATTTCCTACTACTATCGTCTGGCTTTTTGCCGTACTAGTATGGAGATTGTTTGTGCCCGCCTACAAAATATTTTTAAAAACATAATAAATCATCATATATATATATATACATGTATATTATCCTCATATATATGTGTACATGTGCAATATGCATAAAATCTTTCAGATGTCTAGCATTGATAACAAAGATTCTGAAAAGTCAAACTAATTTCGTTTTTTTTTTTTTTTTTCTCTCAAACAAGGTTCAACTAATTCTGAAAAAAAAGGTTCAACTTGAAAGGTGATATGTTTAATTTACACTATTTTAACTTATATATATCTTAAAAGATATATTTATTTAATTTTATATGTATTAAAATATATAACACATGCATTATCATATCTACAGGAGCTCACCATAATATGTGCCCCGGGAACAAGTCTTCGGAGACTCCTATGAAGAAGAATGTGGATTTAGATATGGAGAAGTGTGTGAGTTTACTTGGCTGACTTAGCTCAATATATAGAGCTAGACGTAGAAGCTAATAGTTTCTTTGGAATATAGTATTGCATGCTTATGGTTTAAGGTTTAGGCAAATGGATTGTTAAGAATGATTTTAAGATCACTTCAAATCCAAGTAAACTTAAGTTAATTTACTATTTCTTTCGCTTTATTTGTCATAGTAGCAATTTTGATCAGTATTTTCATTTAAATGAAGAACGAAAGAGGATAATTGATATCCAGAACAACCAACACATCTCAACTTAGTTGCCACCTGTTAGCTGAACCATCTTCTACTAAATCCTCAACCCTAATTTATTATTAAAAAAAAAAAAAAAAAAAAAAGAGAAGAAGCTTACAAAACCCACCAATGGCAATACATGAATTAGATAAACCAACTTAAAAGAGCGAATTACATTAGGCTACGCTTGGAAAAACTTAGAAGACACTTTAACGCACAATAACAACAACATTAACAGGACATGATTATTATTAAAGAAAGGCATTTATTTATGTTCATTATTACAAGGAAAAAATAAAAATAAATAAATAAATAAAAGTGAACTTTTGTGGCGTTGTTATCTAGAGTAGTTAGATTTTTGTATAAAAAAATAAATAAGAGTAGAAGGGCCTGCAAAAACGGAAGCCGACCGGAAACAGCAATTATGAACAATATATAATATTTACATCATATTTTAGTCTTATATATGTATGGACTTGTTTATGGTTCTACCTGTTGAACTAAGCTGCAATGTAATATAAAAAAGTGAGATAATACACCTATTTATTTCATATAACGCTAATGTTAAAACATGTAACACCAAGAAAAAGTAATTATCCATAGTTTGTAACACCTTTCTAACGTTAATAATAAATTGAACAAATATCATGTTATACTACAAAACGGTGTAGTCCTACTGCAGGAAAATGGACATAGAAAGAGTTGTGTTATAAGCGAAATTTTCTCTTCGTTATTTTCACAGTTATAACAAGACATGACCTCCTAATTTTCATGAACTCGGTACTTGAGTACGAAATAGCCTTCGGTTAATATTTGTTGTCCCGGAAACAAAATATCAACGTGGTTCAGCTATCAATTCGAACAATCCTCCATTTGAAGACTATCACTTCGATTGTGAAGTCATTAATGTTCAATCTGAATTTTATTTTAAGTTTCATCTTGGCAAAAGCCGCAAATTTCTTTGGTGGTTGCAAGACTATAGGGCATCTGATTTGAAGAATTTTGATATCCCAATTCTCAACTGGGATCAGTGTTCTTGTGATACATAAGGACCGCCACAATTATTTTGATGTCGTAGAGGTGTGATTTGTTAGGGAAAAGCACATCACTACATTCACGCAGTAGAAAAATAAATTGAAATAAAAATAACAGAAAAATAGAGAAGATAAAGATATAAGTAGTTCAGAAAAAATTCCTACATCCACGGAAGAGGGAGAAAAACTTCACTAACAGTTTCGGAACTCTGTAAACTTTTCCACTTTCTCTCTCTACCCAAAACCCTTACACCCTTGCATGTCTCTCTCCTCACTTTTCTCTCTCTTACAAAAGGAGGCACTCTGTCTCTACCTTTTTTTCTGAGTACACACATAAAGCGTTACACAAAACACTTATTTACAAACTCCTAATAAACTATAAAATAACCCTTGCCTAAAAATTGAAAACAGTAACTTACTCAAAATCACAAAATTATAACTTTCTTAAAACCAATTTGAGTCACTTATCTAATAATCTCCACCTTGACTCAAATTCTCTCAACTCACTCAATTGGGTATCCGATCTCAACAATCGTCATAGCACTGACGATGCAAACTTCAACAAGAATAAATATGTGTCAAATTAAAACTCAACATGAGAAACTGTCTAGCATTGATAACAAAGATTCTGAAAAGTCAAACTAATTTCGTTTTTTTTTCTCAAACAAGGTTCAACTAATTCTAAAAAAAATTTGAACTTTGTGTACTTTTTTTTTAAGTAAATGAAACATGATAAAACTGAAAGGAAAAAAAAAAGGTTCACCTTGAAAGGTCATATGTTTAATTTACAGTACTATTTTAACTTATATATATCTTAAAATATATATTTATTTAATTTTATATGTATTAAAATATATAACACATGCATTATCATATCTACAGGAGCTCACCATAATATGTGCCCCGGGAACAAGTCTTTTGAGACTCCTATGAAGAAGAATGTGGATTTAGATATGGAGAAGTGTGTGCGTTTACTTGGCTGACTTAGCTCAATATATAGAGCTAGACGTAGAAGCTAATAGTTTATTTGGAATATAGTATTGCATGCTTATGGTTTAAGGTTTAGGCAAATGGATCGTTAAGAATGATTTTAAAGAACACTTCTAATCCAAGTAAACTTAATTAATTTACTATTTCTTTCGCTTTATTTATCACATTAGTAATTTTGATCATTATTTTCATTTAAATCAAGAACGAGAGAGAATAATTGATATCAAGAACAACCAACACATCTCAACTAAGTTGACACCTGCTAGTTGAACCATCTTCTACCAAATCCTCAACCCTAATTTATTATTAAAAAAAAAGAGAAGAAGCGTACAAAACCCACCAATGGCAATACATGGATTAGATTAACCAATTTAAAAGAGCGAAGTACATTACGACTATGTAGCATAAGTAAATTTATTATGATCTATATAAATAGTACTAGTACATTAGGACTTATAAATACTTTTTTTCCTTTTTGAATTGGGGTAGAGGAATTTGAACTCTTGACCTCAATATTAGAGGCCAGAAAGAAGTGTAGATTTACCCGTAGGCTACGCTTGCAAAAACTTAAAAGACACTTTAACGCACAACGACAACATTATCATTTGTACATGATTATTATTAAAGAAAGGCATTTATTTATGTTCATTATTATAAGGAAAAAGAAAAAGAGAACTTTTGTGTTGTGGTTATCTAGACTAGTTAGATTTTTGTATAAAAAAATAGATAAGAGTAGAAGGGCCTGCAAAAAAAGGAAGCCGACCGAAAACAGCAATTGTGAACAATATATAATATTTACATCATTTTATAGTCTTATATATGTATGGACTTGTTTATGGTTCTACCTGTAGAACCAAGCTGCAATGTAATATAAATAAGTGAGATAATACACATATTTATTTCATCTAACGTTAATGTTAAAGATATAAAGTAATTATCCATAGCTTGTTACATCTTCCTAACATTAATAATAAATTGAACAAAAGTCATGTTATATTTTCCACCTCTATATGTTACAAAACAGTATAGTCCTACTGCAGGACAATGGACATATATATACGTATACACGAACAGTAGAGAAGAGTTGTGTTATAAGCGAAATTTTCTTTTCGTTATTTTCACAGTTAGTAACAAGACATGACCCCCTAATTTTCATGAACTCGGTTTTTGAGTACGAAATAGCCTTCGGTTAATATTTGTTGTCTCGGAAACAAAATTCCAACGTGGTTCAGCTATCAGTTCGAACAATCCTCCATTTGAAGACTGTCACTTTGATTGTGAAGTCATTAATGTTCAATCTGAATTTTATTTTAAGTTTCATCGTGGCAAAAGCCGCGAATTTCTTTGGTGATTGCAAGACTAGGGCATCTTATTTGAAGAATTTTGATGTCCCAATTCTCAACTGGGATCACGTGTTCATGTGGTTGATAAGGACTGCCACGATTCTTTTGATGTCGTAGGGGTGTGATTTGTTAGGGAAAAGCACATCACTACATCCGTGTATCAGAAAAATAAACTAAAATGAAAATAATAAAAAAATAGAGAGGACAAAGATTTATATAGTTCAGAAAATTTTCTTACTTCTACAGAATAGAGGGAGAAAAACTTCACTAACAGTTTCAAAATTATTTACTCAATAAACTTTCTCACTTTCTCTCTCTACCTAAAACCTCTTACACCTTTGCCTACCACTCTCCTCATTTTTTTTTTCTCTATCTCTCTCAAAAGTAGGCACTTTGTCACTCCACTTTTTTCTGAGCACACACATAAAGCGTTACACAAATCACTTATTTATAAACTCCTAATAAACCATAAAATAAGCTTTGCCCAAAAACTGAAAACAGTAACTTACCCAAAAACACAAAACAATAATTTTCCTAAAATCAATTTGAGTCACTTATCTAACGCCATTCAACTTTTTGCTTTGTGAATATAAACATGATATTTTTTATGATTTTCTTTATTTTTCGTCTTTAAAAATATAATAAAATAAAAACGACGTCAAAAAATAAACAAATTTTGCAGACACGATCCTTATATTTTTCTAAGCAGGCCAGAAAAAAGTGGCCTAAAAAAATGACAAAAAAAGTAAAACGATGTCAAAAAGCCCCCGGCTTGCGTAGTGGGGCGCCCAAGGGCCAGTTCAGGGGCCGGGATGGGTCAAAAATTTATATTTTTATTTATATTCTGCATTTTAAATTAATATATGATTTTTAGGAATTAATGCAACAAGCGGCACCATGTTTTGATGAAAATTCTATTTTTTATGATTTTCTTTATTTTTCATCTTTAAAAAATATAATAAAATAAAAAT